CAAAATGCCGGTCTTCGAAGAGGGTGAGTTTCAATTCTTCAATCCAGTTAGGATTATGAGAAAAGGAAGGTGTAGTTGGGTCTATTCCAAAAGAATGTGGAAATTGGGGCTCATTCACACACTCTAGCTAGTCAGAAGAGCAGTGTGGCTCTGAGTGTTTAGATGCGAATCCAACCCGAATTTTGCCTGTGTAAAGGAGTTTGTACTGACATTCTGTATCTTAAGTATTCCTTGTTTGCCACGTCGCTGAGTAGTGAAGTAAATCATCTAGTAACTCTGCTTGCAAACTGCATTTCTGGGAAATATGTTTCACTGCTCGAGCATTGGAAGTTGTGCCCAATCAGTTGGCCTATATGTTTGCACCGTCTTTTGCTCACACCACTCGAACGATAAAGTGTACGCTCAAGCGGCCTTTGCAACTCTGTTTAGTATAAAGTGCACTGTTTGTGATTTTTAGGGAAAAACCCGTCCAGATTCGCAGAGATGAGTAAATAAAAATTATTCGATATTACAGGTGTTTTTATATGAGTTTCCTTGATGTATAGAAGGTGATCGACAGATCAACGAACTACATAGTGTCAAACATCAAGGGTTAGTTTCGATTTTTTATTCACATAAAGAGAGAAGTGTTCATCGGTGAATTTTAGAGAACTTGAGCCTGAAACTTTGGTGGATTCCGGAGTGGCTCATCGTTGTGGATTTAATATTGGGTAAAGCAATTCTGTGGTGAAGACGGTGGTGGAAGAGGCACATCAGGGTTGGTTCAATTAGGGCATGGATTCACTAGGTAATTGAGGGTACTCGTGTGTAATTCTTTTTGTTTTCTTAGTGGATTGTTTTGTGGCTTTGGCCCGTGATTTTTTTATCACAGTTGGAGGTGCTCTAATTGTGATCTTTTTTTTCACGTTAAATCATTGTGTCGATTTGTTGTTGATTGTTTGATTGGGATTGATATTCACTGTTTTAAATTGACACATAATCATTAATCAATATCTGGAGGGCTTTTAGATTTTTCAAATATCATCACTAGTGATAATCATGTCATCCACATAAACAAGAAGGAGAACAAGACCATGTTGAGATTTACGAATCAAGAGAGCAGAATCATAAGAGTTGGAGGAGAAACCAAATTTCCTAATAATAGTATTGAACTTAGAGAAACATGCCCGAGGATCTTGTTTGAGGCCATGGAGTGCTCGACGAAGTTTACAAACTTGATTAGGAAAATGAGCATAACCAACAGTGGTTGCATATAAACCTCTTCTTGAAGATCACCATTCAAGAAGGCATTGTTGACATCTATCTGAAATAATTGCCATTTTTGAATTGCAGCAACAACCAGTAAACTATGTACAGAAGTGAGATGTGTTATTAGAGCAAAGGTCTCTTTATAGTCAATGCTATACTCTTTGGTAAAGCCCTTGGCAACTAGGTGAGCTTTATATCGTTCAATAAACCCATCAGAATGAGTCTTGATCTTGTAAACCTACTTACAACCAACCAAAGTTTTATTACAAGGAAGATCAACTAAATCCCATGTGCCAGTTTGATCCAAGGCTTGCAATTCTTCAAACATTGCTTGCTACCAAAGAGGGTTAGAGCTGGCCTCATGATAAAAGTGAGGTTCATGATGAGAAATAATAACAGAATAACAATGATAATCACGAAGAAGAACAAAAGATTCTTTTACCTAGGTAGAATGCTGAAGACATGCATCAGAGGATGCGTTGCTAGGATGTGGAGTAGGCTTAGGGAAGAACTCAGGAAGCTTAGGAGAGACAAGAGGCTCAGGAGGAGCAGGAATAGTGGCATGATCTTCAGTTGGAGAGGTAGCACCATCAGGCGACCCAGACTCAGTAGGATGGACTGTATAAACGGGTTAGAGATAGAGCTTGCATCAAACTCATTAGGAAGTAAATGAACAGTAGGATCAGTGAAAAATAAGGGAGTGGAGAGAAAAGCATTGATAGACTGGCCTGACTCTTGGTGCATGTGATGAAGTTGGTTAAGAAGCTGATATTGATTAAGAAGCTTTTTAAGAAAGTCCAAATTTCCTTAGCTATGCCAAAATGGCCAAATTGAAGATTGATGGAGACAACAGAGGTATTACAGAACCAGGTGATGATTTGATGATTCTCGTTGTCCCAATCGTCAAGACGTTCCTCATATTTGGCAACAGATTCAATAGTGTCTTGGACAAGTTTGATGAGGCTGGACATGGCTTGCGCCCAAATGGTATAATTAGAATCATCTAGGACAATAGTGATTGGGTGAACCAAGTCAGAACGCTTCATTTTTTTTCTTTCATATTAAAAAAATAATAATTGCAAATAAATAGAAAAAGAAAAAGAAATCAAAGAGAGAAAGAAAGGAAAAGAAAACAGAATAAGAAACAAAATAAATAAATTAAATAAAAGAAACGGCTGTGGTAGAAGCCAAAGTGGAGCACGCGGCTAAGGACAAGTTATGTGGAGCAGCGAAAATCGCTAAGGCACGGCTGAGGCAGCTAATGACGACACACGTCAGCGAGGGCTAAATTGGGAAACACGCATTTGATGCGTGTCAGCACGTGGATAAGTGAGGGGACACATGCATAGAGTTTTGGATGGTGCGCGTTAGTGCGTGGAGAGGGGTTTCCGAACATGGTGGGCTCCATTGAATCCGGATCCTCAATCGCACTCCCCTGCCGCGCATTCTTGTCGCCCTCCAAAACGATGTCGTTTTGGAGGTTTTTTTTTTTCTTTTTTCTTTCCTCTCTTTCTTTCCAACACTGGTATGTTGCTCTCTCTCTCTCTCTCTTCCTTGTAGGCGGAGGCGGTGGAGGACGGAGGCAATGGAGATTCCGGCGGCGGCGATTTGGGTGATAGTGAGGTAGGGGGATTCGGAGATGGTGACGGCAGCGATGATTTCATGGGTTGGACGGGCATGGGGGTGCCGAAGAGGAGGCCGGTGGAGATGTTGTAGAGGGAGGTGAAGATGAGAGTGGTGAGGTCGTCGACAGAGCCCCCGAGTTCAGACCAGATCTTGGTTTTGAGGCGGAGGTTGGTGGCGCATGGGAGAGTGGTGAGGCGGTGGCGCCACCGTGGAAGCCGAGGAGAGGGGTGGTTTGGGTCGATGATTGTTGCTCCTCTTCCTCCTCCATGCCTCTCTCCGATGCAATTTGCAATTTGCAATCTGAAATGAGGAGAGAGAGAGAGAGAGAGAGAGAGAGAGAGAGTTATCCACCCAAAATTTCATCAAGCATCATGAAAACATTTTTATTTCATCAAGCATTCTGTATTCTGTATCCACCCAAAATGAAATTTTGTTGTTTATGTGTATTCTGCATCCACCCAAAATTTCATCAAGCATCATCGAGCATCATCAAAACATTTTACCCACCCAAAATTTCAAACTCAAGAACTAAAATCAAATTTCATCATCATCATCATCATCATCAAACCCAGAATAATTACATCATCATCATCAACAACAATAACTAAAAAAAAAAAAAAAAAAAAAGAAGAGAAAAAGGGAAAAAAGGTTTACTTGAAGATCTGTTGCTTCTTGTGGCAACTGTCATTACTGATTAGTCGTGGCCAGTCTCGTAGTCTTAGTACGCTAGGTTGAATGCTTTAGGAAGGAAAGGGGTTGGGTTTGTGAGTTGGAGTTGTTAAGGTTAGGAGTGAGGTGAAAGGATAGTAAATTGCCATGGGTTGGGCTTGTGAGTTGGAGGATTTAAGGTTAGGAGGAGTGAGGTAAAAGGATAGTAAAGTGCTAAATAAAGGAAAAGGAGAAAGCGGAGTAAAATTTAAATTGAATTTGTCAAGTAAAAAGGAGAAGGAAGAAGGCAAATAAAGCTAGATGGTTGGAAAGGCCTTTTGATGAAATGGAAATTAAACGTAGTTTTTGATTTTGAGAACTCCCTAGGTCCAAATGGTTTTATTATGGCTATTTTCCAAAATTGTTGGGACATTTTGAGGTTTAGTTTGATTTAATGAGGGGTTTTACTAAATTTTTCAAAAATGGAGTTGTCAATGCTTGTACAAATGCTGCATTCATATGTTTGATTCCTAAGAAGGAGAATTCTTTGAAGATTGAGGATTTTAGGCCTATTATTTAGTTACTTTCTCATGTAATATAGCATATATGCTTATTTCTAAGAGATTGATAGTGATTTCGGGTGACACTATACTTGTTTCTTAGGGAACCTTTTGTTGAGGGTTGTCGGATTTTGGATGTAGCATTGGTGGCAATCAGATAGTGGAGTAGGATTATATATCTCAAGGCGTGTAAATTGTTTTTTTTAAGATTTAATTTTTGAGAAAGTTTATGATCATGTGGATTGGGGTTTCTTTCATTTTTCTATGGATAGGAAAGGATCTGGAGTTAGATGGAGGAAATGGATTCATGGTTAGCCTTCTTCTATTGAGATGCAACAAGGATCTAAGGCAAGGTGACCCTTATTCTCCTTTTTGTCCACGATTGTGGATGATGTTTTGGGTTGAATGGTCTATAGGACTAAGGAGAGAGGCTAGGTTAAGATTTCAGTTTCTCATCTTCAATTTGTAGATAACACCATTTTTTTTTTCTCCATTGTGGAGCACTCTAAAATGGTTAGTTTGCATTCTGTTTCGAGGAAAAACGTGTGCTTTAGATTGGGAATATAACCACTAGTGATAGGGAAAAATTCAGGGGGAAGGACAAAGGAAAGAGCAATGCCTAAATTAAATCAATTGATTTGTCATGGTAGAGAATAAAAGTGGCACACAGACTATACTTGAGCTTCAGATCAATGTCCCCAAAAGCAAGGACTACGCCTGCATGTTTCAACGAGAACACTGAAAAAACCTAATTGAGCTCTATGTAAGATAGCCATGAAACTATAACCGATAGATTCAGACACTTGGCTGCAGCTGCATGCAAAAGGAATGTGGTTCTGGTTGAGGCTTTCTGTCGCAAGATATATTGCATAGGATAGTTGGCTTATTAGGTTGTTCCATTGAATCTTTGCCATTGAGATATTTAGGCCTTCCTCTGGGGTTAATCCTAGGGCTGAAAGTTTTGGGGATCTTGTGATTGTAGGCATTCATCCTACTCTCATTGTCTTGGTGAGAAAAGAATTGTAATAACCTTTTGTCTTCGTGCTATTGTTTGTACAAATTAAGTGTCTCGATTATAATCCTCTGCGTTAATGAATTGTTTGTTTCTTCTTGCAGACCCATCTCTGCTTTTGCCTGCATTAGTTCGTCTTGTTTGTTCGTCAGATGAAGTAGTACATTCATCTGCCAGTAATACATTTGTCGCGGTGCTCAAATATCATAATAAAAAATTTGAAGTTTTATGCATGCTGCTCGACTGTCTTAGGTATATTGCTAGTTTAACTTCCACTTGTTTCTTTGTTTGTTTGTATATGGCTTCAAAGGCTTGATTTGTTTGCAAGTGGTTTGTTTCTGGAAATTTTGGAGTACCAACTTATTTCGCTCATATCATTAATACATCGGGCAGCTGTTTTACTTGTGAAACTTTGTAATTTGTATTTTCTTCAGCAATATCTGCCAGAATCCAGATCTTCCTCAAGCTCTAGGTGATAGAGGGAAAGGTGTGTCTCTCCTGTTTTGATTATAGAATTGATCAACATGCTATCACATCCTTGTTCATACTCGTTTTTTTTACAGTTTTATGAAAAATTTTGAAAAAGAAATTCTTTGATCTTGTAAGTCTGCAAAAAATCTAAAAAGTCATAAATGGATATATTATACATAAACCACATTTTTCTGACAACTTCTGACATATTTTTGGAAATATCTTCTCCTATTCTTGTACAAGGCAAACATTTAGCATAACTTGGGGGATACTTGAATGGGGCCATGAGCTGCCTTTAAGTAGATCATTCATATGGCCTAAAATCTTTATTTTGACTACTAAATTATATACCCTGCATTATGATTAGGGCCCATTAACTGGACCTTATTTTTTGTTAATTATTTATAGAGTCAATTTTTGAATTAGGCCGATCATTTGGCTAGACTATTTGCACAAAATATGGATCAATCTTCTGAGACCTATCTTGAATTATTTGCTCCAGTTGCTGCACCAAAGAAAATTCCAATTAAATGGACCTTAGGAATATGGATTTTTTGAGTTAGGATATTTAATTTGATGGACCTTGCAAACTTATAACCACCATTGCCATACCAATTCCAAAATTGTCATAAGGTTCTGAATTTTTCTCTTCTGTTCCTCCATCGAAGCATTCAATGGAGGCACTTTTATGTCAAATACTTGGTTTTAAGTGTTCTTACAAAACAGTTTCAAGGTACTGTTTGTTGAGTGATTTTATTTTCAAGCACATTTTCTTTCTTTTTTTATTTTTTATTTTATTTTTTTTTATTTATTTTTTTCCATTTATGTGTTACCTCTTCATTATATTGTAGAAGGGTCAAAGTTGGATGCTGATAGAGTGCTCAAGCTGATCCCTCAGTGGTCAGAAAGTGTAAGCTTGATTATTTTGCAATTTGTGTATTTTATTTTATTTTATTATAAGTGATTTCTTCTATGAAAATTTGATGTTTCTTTTTTTATTGGTTTGTAAATTTGATGTTTCTTGGCTATGGTGTTCTTTCATGTGCGTGTGGCCTTTGTTCATTACCTTTCTGAGTAGTGTTTTTTGTATTTGCCTGTTTAATGTATTCATGTGTTTCTGTGCTTGGCTTAGGTTATTTTATTGTGCTAGATTGTCACCTTATTAATATTGCTATTAAGCTTGTGTACTGTTCTCTTGTTTTTGGCTTGTCTATGTAATGTCAGACATATTTGGTTTGTGTAACACATCAGTGCATTAACAATGCCTTAGTTGCAGAATTTTAATAATTATTGAACATATATACATGCATATGTATCTATGTAACAATGGAAGTATATTTTTAAGGTAGTCCATTATAGGACTTCATCCTTCATATTTTAATAAATGAGCCACATACTTTTCTTCACTATTCATATAAATACATTTATGATGAACTATTCTAGACTTCAAGGGAACAACATACTTCTTTGGATTCATGGTAGACTTCTATGTTAAACCAAAAGATTGAGTTTATTAGTGTGATGAAGAAAGTCATGCTTTTCAATCTATTCTTTTGTCACTGAAGAAGCATAGGCACTTCTAAAAATGCAGCGTGCCTGTGTTACATTGACACTCGTTGGACACTTCCCCACACATGTTTGACACTCATCAAAACATGTCCTATTTTTTTTTAGAAAAATTTGGACTCTCTTTGGACACTTGGAGAACACATATGTCCATCGCTTAAACAAAGGTGTCTATTGATTAAACACACATGAAACTAATTATAAGTTTAAACAAAATAACCTATGATACAATAATAAAAGAAAAAGCAATATAAATTTATAAAAATAAGTGTTATATTGTATTTTTTTTATTATCTTTGAATAATATATTCATATATATGACATATAATTAATATATAAAATTATTTATTTCATACATGTCCCCCACATGACGTGTCCTGCATTTTCTGAAAATTGGCATGTCGGCGGCCGTGTCGTATCCTTGTCGTGTCACATGTCAGTGCTTCTTAGTCTGTCACCATAGGTTAATGCTTATTGTGGTAAAGGCCTAGGACTTGGGGGTGTGAGTGTGCTCCCTCTAATGTCTCAGGTTCAAAACTTACTAGGTGCAAACAATTTCTTGGTGCCAATCCATATGAGGCTTTGCCTCGGTTTTAATTGGGCCCCCCATTAGTGGACAGTGGGTTTGGTCCTCCGTATTAATCAGTGAGCCGGATACCGAGTTATCAAAAAAATGTTAATGCTTATTGTGGCCATCCAATTTGTTTGTGAATTGCTTTTTAAATTAGATATGAGGACTTTTTGTCAACTTTTCTTTTCTAAGACATACGTGGAAAAAGTTTTTTTACTATCTTGATAATAATAAAAATACAATTGTATTTTGTCTTTCAACTGTTTTTATTTATTGATGTGTTCATGCTGTGTCATGCCATGAATTTTTTGAAAATTGTTTTGTTAGTGTGTCTATATTGTGTCATATCCATGTGCCCTTTTCCTTATCCATGCTTCTTAGTCGATATCTGCACCAATCCCTTGCGCTGTCTCAGGTTTGCATGTAAGTTATTTATTGACTTGAGGCTAGCATAACATTTTCAACTTGTCAATTGGTGTCCTTAAGTTGTGTCTAAATGACTTTTTGGACTTGCTTGCACTAAGGTTCTATTTCTCATGAGGCCTCATTTTCTTTCAGCCTATATCTGAATTTTTTATTTTGTTGTGCTATATATAGGTTGAAGACTGGAACTCGTTAATCGAACCATTGATTGACAAGATGTTTGCAGAACCATCAAACGCAATTATTGTCAGGTTCCTAAGTTATATAAGTGAACACTTGGCAGATGCTGTAGATGTTGTCTTTCACCAACTTCTGTTACATACAAGACAGCAAAACAGGTGAGTGAATTGCGTTATAAAATGTTCTCTTTGATTTCACGTGTAACCTCTCGATGTTCGAAAAATCTCATTCATAATCTCTGATAGTTCAAATGCTATAATTGAATTGTGTACTGGTTATCTTATGTGCTTGATTTACTGTTATATATAATGGTAAGTTAAAAAGTTAAATACAAAGACTTCCTGTTTCCTGTTTTGTATGCTAGTGTATTGGCTGGCAACATTTGCATATAGGTAATAATTAACAACTCAAGCTAGATTGCTGAAGTGTGCCTTTGTAAAATAGCCTAACAACTAGTAAATCCACAACGTATTTTTTCCCCCTTCTTTTTATCACCTTGTGTGAACCAGCACCTTTGTCTAGTTTACAAATCGCTTAAAAGGATCCAGATGGTAATAACTAATTACTCTAAAAGCATAGGCTGGAAAGTGATGCGACTTTCATCGATATAGAATTACTCTAATGGGTTTTCTTTGTTATTTTTGTCCTTTTTTCCTATCCTCTCTGATTGTCTCCACTCTTATTTTCCCTACTGAAGTTGGAGATAGTGGTAAATCTATCTAAACCACCCCATAATTAATGTGTACTTGGTATTCAATTCAACCTATTTACATATTCAATTGCACATGTACCATGTGTCCTTTGTTTGAGAACTGCTTAAGGTACTCCAACTGTATCATTCCACTGCAGCATTTTATTTCAACTCTTTGGCCCCGTTTGTTTTCTGCTTTCACAGTCTGGAGTGGACTGTGAAGGATGAACAGTGCCCATACCTCCCGTTTGTTTTGACAACGTTGTACCGGAGTCATAGTCCGAACGGACTATGAATCACCTCAAACCAACGGATTAACAATCCCTCATGGGACTTGGTATTGAAAAAGAAGCCGTTGGGATTATGATGTAAATGACCATACTATCCACCATATCATCAAACAGAAAAATAGATCCCTCCTCCAAATTTTTAACCACACTCAGAAATAATGAATAATTTCCATTTTTTTTTCAATTAATTTTCTACTCTTTATTGTAGAAAAGAAGAAAAGAAAAAATAATGGAAATTAAAGAAGAGAAAAGAAAGAAAAAAAGAAAATAGATAATTTAATTGAGAAGAGAAACTGGAGAAATTTCATAAATCCTGTCTTCTTTTCTCTTCTTCACTCTTCTGCAAAACACGGTGAAGATCGGCGTCATCGTCATCGTCATCGTCATCGTCATCGTCATCGTCATCGTTGATGGTGATGATCGGCGTCGTTGCAGTGAATGACGGTGATGATCAGTGTTGTTGCGTCGTCGTTGTCATTGACGGTGAAGATCGTCGTCATCGTCGTCGTTGTGGTGGTGATGGATGAAGGCAAAACTCTGCTTTTGTTTTTTAACAGAGAAGGCGAAGATGATGATGAAATGAACCAATATTTGAGTGAATAAAAATTTCAACCAATATTTGAGTCATCGTCATCGTCATCGTCATCGTCATCGTCATCGTCATCGTCATCGTCATCGTCATCGTCATCGTCATCGTCATCGTCATCGTCATCGTCATCGTCATCGTCATCGTCATCGTCATCGTCATCGTCATCGTCATCGTCATCGTCATCGTCATCGTTGATGGTGATGATCGGCGTCGTTGCAGTGAATGACGGTGATGATCAGTGTTGTTGCGTCGTCGTTGTCATTGACGGTGAAGATCGTCGTCATCGTCGTCGTTGTGGTGGTGATGGATGAAGGCAAAACTCTGCGTTTGTTTTTTAACAGAGAAGGCGAAGATGATGATGAAATGAACCAATATTTGAGTGAATAAAATATTTCAACACAATGTTTGAAACCACGCACTGGTTTTGGAAAACCATGGGCTGGATGATTTGTTTTCTTTTGATTTTCTATTTATTACATAATATTTCATAATAATATTTTTATAAAATATAATTGAATATAATTTTTTAAAGAGGGTTGTGGGGTCCCAAAAAAAGAGATCCTAAGTATTTTTTATAAAATATAATTTTTAATATTAAAATATATCATAAACAAACACAATTTTTCATAATCCACTCACTAAATTTCCAAATTTGATAATAATGTAACAAGGGTATTTATGGAATTTTACTGGTTAATCCCACTTCTATCTCTCAAAACAAACAGGAATTATTACTAGTCCATTGGTTATCAAACAAACACAAATTTTCTAATCCCATCACTAACAATCCCTTCACTAACAGTCTCCTCACTAATAATCCCCTCACTAACAATCCTACCGAGTCTACCTCTAAAAACAAACGGACCCTTTGGCTTTTCATTTACTTGTCTGAATCATGCCATAATATGTGGCCATTGAGTATATTCCTTACCATCTTCAGTGAATATCCCTATCATCAATTAAGGAAGTGGACATGTTCTATTCCTTTCTCTTTTATTAGTCTGTTTTTTTCAATCATTTGGTCAGTGCTAGAAGTCAAGAAGTTGTTTCATATTTTACTTGTGATTTGTGTGCATCCCCCCACTTATCCACTATGAAACATGAAAAGAGTCTTGATTCATGTTTTCACATGATGCCATAGTTCTGTAGGATGGGTTTCAATTTTTTACCTTAAACAGTTGCATCTGTTTTCAATGTTTTTATGTTTGGTGTGTAAACTGTTCTCTCTCATTATTATTATCATAGTTTTGAAATTTGGATTCATATCGTGAATCGAAATGGTTTCGTACTGAATAACGAATTGAATCGAATCGAATCGTGAATCGTAAAGATTCTGTCACTTTTTCTAAATTATTTAAAAATATATATCTACACATTTAGATGTTAAATATATCTTATGAATATGATATATTTACACTTAAATCAATGAAAATGTTATTTTGAATGATAATCACGTAGTTTAATAGGTAAGAAGTTAATAAAGGTTCCTATGTAAGATCACTATCTTACATTTTTTTTTTTTAGATATTTTTTTATCAACAGTTCTTAATAAAGATAATAACCAAATAGACAAATTATCAATTTTCAAAGTAACAATAATTAATAACGATATTGATATTTGGACAATAAGCATACATAAGTAACAGTGAAATAATAAGAAAGAATTGTTTAAAATCTTTTATTTTGAAGCGTAAAACATTTTAAAAGGTATAATTGACTTTGCACATGTAATATTCAATTATATTCAATTTAATAAATTAGCAATAGATAATTCATAGTGTAACTTTAATCTTAAATATCTTTAGAAGATATATTTAGATTTTTTAAAGGGAAAAAAATGGAAAGAATGGTAAAAAATATATTGGGTCTGACCGAATTTAATTGGATTCTATTAAAAACTTCATGATCACTAAAATAACAAATCATGTATATATATTAGTTATTTTGGTATTAAACGCTATCAAAATTTGTATTATGTCATTTTTACTAAAAAGATAGAGAAAAGAAGAGTCGAAAACATGTCAGACACAATAATTTCAAAAATTGCATGAATCGTAAAAAGTGAATTGAATCGTGAATTGATTGTGAATCGTGCAATTCACTAGAGATTCACTTCCAAAATAGATTCACCCATAGATTTGTATCGATTTTTCAAAAATGGTTAATTGAATCGCGAATTGTAAGATTCTGATAATAGAGATTATTATCATTATTATTTTTTTCTTGGGGTGAAATTGATGAAAAATTTTGTAGATGGGAGAATCAAAACTATGAAGTTGATAATCCTCTGAAGTTGGAGCATTCTCTCTTTGATCGCCTTTGTCCATTACTTATTATCAGGCTGCTTCCACTAAGAGTTTTTAATGATCTCAATTCTTCACTTATATATGGTGAACTTTGCAAACAAGGTATGATGATCCGTGCCTTCAGTGAATTCATTTTTTCCTTTTTCTTTTCTTGTCTGTTTATTCTTTGCGTCTTTCAAGGTGAGTTCATTGTTCTTGTGAATTTATAAAACATAATAGTCGTAAAGTTTGTCCATCTCGAAGCCCCTTTCTTCTCTTCTTTTATTTTATTTTATTTTATTTTATATTTTTATTTTTTTCCCTAGTGAAATTTACAAGTATTTGGCGGTTCAACGTAAATTTCTCTGCTTGTTTGCTTGTATGTTGTCATCTCTAAAATGCTACATTAGTGACTGATAGTATATTTAATTTTTCTGTGTGGGTGTGGATACCAGCTTATGTGTGGTATTCTGGCGCCCCCCCCCCCCCCCACCTCCCCCCAACATAAAAAGGGGGTTTCGGGCCTGTGTCGCCCAAAACACTTTTTATCCTTTTTTTTTTTCGGTTGCCTTGTGGACTTGTGTCACACAAGGGAAGGGGTTCTGGGGGAGGTATGAAATATGTTTTTATTCTGCCTTGTCGCAACTGGTTGAGGAAACTTTACTCTGTTGAATGTCAGCCAATGAGAACTTGTGTTTTTTATCCTGTTTAACTGGAGTTTTTCCCTTAATTATAATACTTTTAGTTGATGGGCCGTTTATTCCTCATCTTTGTAAGTAGTTATGTTATTACCATGTCATGTTTTGAATATTCACAACACACTAAGATTAGAAATCATAAAATTAATGTTTGAGACTGTAAACTTTTTTGTATCCTTGGTGGCATGGTCTAAATACTACTATCAAAGTCAGCTTTCCGCTTTGAGACGAGTTCTCACTGCCAATCACTGATCTATTAGTCCATAACCATTTTTTTCATGTCATTTAATTGCTGAGAATGCTGCTAAGAATGCTTCGTCTAATTTAGAATCTCACATAAATGAGTTCCTAGTTTAATCCTATTGCAGTCTTATTTATTAGTTATGGGGGGCAAATTCATCGGAAGTGTGGATTTGCACCCATGACTCTTTTCATCTCAGTCAAACCTGTAATCATCATGAATGTAGCTATTTTTGCCCTTCTGAGCTAAAAAGCGTATAGACTTCTATGGAGGATGCATATCATGTCATATGTTGTACAGACACTCCTATAAGTGTGCCTGACAATTCTCCGACTTGTCTTAATTAAAATTTTATATTTATAATACTGGAAGCTTCCTGGACATTTGTTGGACACTTTCAGCGCCACTTCATGAAATCTTCGAACACGACCTTTGTAATGAATCTCTTCATAGTAACAATGTTCTAAATTCTTCATAATGCAACTTGTGTACTCTAAATAAGTTTGGAAACATTTATATGATGAACACGTCATGCGTATTTTAATGTTCTAAAATTGTTTTGCATTCTTTAGAATGCAATTTTTACTTGAATGATATCTTGATGTTTGAATTGTATGGTGTTTAAATTTTAGTTAGTGTTGTTTTTTTCATTACCTTTGAATAAACTATTCATATATTTGACATAATAAATTTATTAAAATATTAATTTTAATGTGTTCTAGGCATATTGTGGCCAATAATTTTTGAAAATTCTCGTGTATGTGTGTCTGTGTCACGTTGTATGTCCATGTCTTTGCTGTACTTAATTCTAGGAGTAAAGAGTTAGGATCGGTGAAGTTGTACATTTCTTAAAGTTCTTTGATTGCCCTAGACTGAGCTGTGTGAGTAATATATATCAGAAACATATACAAATATTTCTATTGAATTTTTCTTATTCATCCTTTTATATGTTTGTCTCAAGTTTTACCCCTCCTAGTATTGTTATAGATTTGTTGTGTGGATTCTTTATGGTTAAGGAATTTTTCACTCTACCATTACGTGTTGTGTTCCAGGGTCCCGAAGATTAGATATATACATTCATTTCTATTTTGTAGTTTCAATATTTTATCATCTGGTCTGAAGTTCTGCACTTAAGAAATACGATCTGCCTTAATTGTCTTGTTTTACCGTGTAATGAAGTCCTTAAGGCCAAAAATAAGGATATTGCAGCTCTAAACAAGCCTTTTGCAACTCATTTTGCATTTCATCTCACAAGCTTTGTTAGAAACAAATCATCCTACACTTATGACTAACTCCGCTTTTCATAATTGGAAATCTAGATACAGGTTATTTTGACATTCATGATGCTGAGAGTGTTGCTGGAATTCTTCTGAACAGGTCTTTTTGATAATTCTCTCGATGTGTGTGTCCCTTGTTGTTTGGGCCATGATAACTGCTTAGCATTAAAAAATAAAAATAAAAAGGAAGCACATAACACAACTCCATGTGTTCTTTCGACTAAAGTGTGCCGTTGCAATTTCTGTCCAAATTAATTGGAGATGCAACTCACGCACCTGTGTTGAGAGTGAGTATACAACCATTTTCCTGGGTTGAAAAATATCCTTAAAAACCATCCGTATTACAAGATGCCAGTGTCTTCTTTCTCTCCCTCTTCTGTCCATTTCCTCTCTTCTTCCACTCGAACCACCTCCTTTCTCTATACTAACCCCTGCCACCCCTTTCCTCCTTCCCTGCCGCCGCCACCACACTCTACATCTCTCACTCCACTGCTTCTCCCTCTCTATCTTTTCTCATTTCTGAACAAATGATGCAAGTCAATGACCAGTTAGACAATTATTAAATGATGGGGCCATCTCTTTCACTCTCTTTGGATATTCACATTGGGTGGGTTGCTTGACTTGGATAGTTTTGAAGTTTCCTTTAGAATTCAGAAATTTTGAATCAACAACTGGTCATTGATTGGCCTTTAACAGCAACGGCTGGCAAAGACATGTGGGAAAGATTATAAGATAAGAACTAGTCCCAAAAGCTTAGGATGTTAGGAAAGGTGCTCAACAATGCATATCAAGATCTCGAACACCCTCCCTCGTGTAGCACTGTCTTGCACATAGAGATGGAAACATCCAAACATTTACAAAAATAGAATGCAAACAGGGAAACAAATGCAAACTGAGAGACATGAACCCAAGACTTCTTCAAATCTAAACCCTGATACCGTGTTAGATCATCAATAGTTCCAAAAGCTTAAGCTGTTAGGAAAGGGGTCTGACAATACATATCAAGGTCTCCAACAGCTTACAGATTGGGAATGATGACTAAGTGCGACTTATATACGAGGGTATAATGACCTTTTTTTCTTTTACCATTAATGATGTGAGCAGTGTATTTTAGTCCAAAAACCACAGGGAGTTGTAAGCTTATTTTTTAATGTCAGGGGAGTGATTAGTACGTGGCCCAAACCACCAGGGGTAAAGTGAAATATGCTTTTTAAAAATAAATACTAATTGAGGAGCTGATGTTACCGCTACTATCTATTTCAGGGCATTTAATAAGTTTGAATTCGAAGATGTTCGGAAACTTTCAGCTGAGCTTTGTGGCCGGATTCATCCCCAGGTAATTTGCGATGCCAAATGTTCTCCTTATTTGCAAGAGAAGTTACTTTGTTTTTACAATATTCTTTTGGTTACAAATACACACTTATCAGTATATCAAGTGAAGAATGAATGCTGTTTGGAAAATAATAATAATAATAATAAGGGAAAGAAGAGAAAGAAAATGCTGGACCAAATGCTATTGCTTAGATGACGTTTTAATGCTTGATTACATTTGCTACAAAACAAATTCCATGGTACATGTATTTTTTATAATTATTTTTTGACAATTTCAAAATCTTAAAGTCTGCCCAGTTTAGTCCCCACTGGATGCTATCCCTTGGCATAATTTGCACAAAGTGATTGCCCTTAGGTTCAAACCCGTAACCTAAAGATTAGTAGGTCAGGTTTTAACCACTGAGTAGATGCTAAAATTTTAAAGTTGATGTTTGTTGTGCGTGGCATTTTATGGCGCTTGATGCATTATCAGGTTCTTACAATTTTACGGAGTGCTCTTTACAATGAGGGGATTGTAAATTTTTACTGTATTAAGCACTGGAAGAAAGTTGTTGCCTCTTCTTACTAGGGCCTTTTCCTCTATTTTCTTATTAGTTCAAAGAATTTTTGTTTGTGCATCTATATACAATCTTCTTTTTTCAGATAATCTTACATTAAGGGTCCCCTTTCTCCTTTTCAAAGCTTAGTATAGGCAACAATACGCACAATTTTACTTATCCATTCGTTTTTAGAGTTTGATATGCAGTGTATATATTATTTATTTATTTATATGTTTTGTGCATGAGGATAACTAAGCATTATGGAATTTCTTACCCTGAAAAGAGTTGCAATTATATGATTCTGCCAAAATTTACATAGATTGAGTTCTGCTGTGCTTGAGTTCCGTCTGGGTTTACTATGTAGTGCCATATTGTGTTAATGATGAATTTCTAAACTGTAGTATATTCATATAAATAAAATGTAGGAGCAAAAAAGTTGAAATTCTTAGTGAATTTCAATGCCCATATTAGTCTGTCCCCAGAAAAGATCACTGCTTAGATAGTGCATCACTGGATTATTTGCAGATAAAATTTAACCAACTCAATTATGGTGTTGGTCATACTTTCCTGAAGTGTAATATTTTCTAGAAGGTTTTGTTTGTAGCCCCCAAGATTTCTGTTTATAAAAAAGTGTCAAGTTAAACCTTATTGCACCTCTTTTGCGTATTTAGTAGTTATTGAAAGATTCCATTTGTAGTCCTTGTGTACTTGATTATTTTAACTAAGGTTTTTTTGCAATCCAATTAATTATGCATTTAGCACTTTACTGATACAAGAGTTTAACCCATGGACCCTGGTTTTCTATGTTTGAACAAAGGTAGTGAAGAGTTTATTTTTTCAGATTTTGTAGATTTACATGTGCTTTAGCATTGTTCCCTGGGTGAAGTATGCACTTTTGGTGCCACTTGGTACATGATTGGAAACAGAGAAGGCTTTGTTCCCTTCTGGTTTGGATTGCTGGAAGTACATGGTTGTTTCTTTTATGTTTTATTTTAGGAGGGGGGAAAATAAAAGAAGAGCAATTGTTGTGTTTCTATAGGAAACTTGAGGTATATAGATAATCATCACTTGCTACATGCTGACTCTTTGGGAAAAAAAGTGCAGCTGGTCTGTTTCTTCTTGGTATTGTTATGATGCTCTGGATGAATGCTGCATTCTGTGTCAAATTCAATTCTTCTTGACTGAGTGGAGTCACATGTAGTAGAGCATACTCCTTTAAATAGTTGACATGAGCCAATATTTCATTTAATTTTATTGTAATTTTTCATTTATTCAAATATCTGTTGTTGTCACTCTGCTATTCAGTTCTATGCAAGGGTGTTGCTTTCTAATTTCGTATTCAGTTGTTCTCTAATTTTACCTTCTAACCTTCCTGCCTTGTGATTCTGCAGGTGCTATTTCCACTTATTGCCTCGCAATTGGAACATGCTGTAGATGCTCGTGATGCGCTGAAGATAAAAGCTTGTTTGTTTTCAATTTGTACATCCCTTGTGGTAAAAATCTGTCATCAACATCCATTTGTCATGGTTCATTACTATTTGTTCTGGGCATTTAAGTGTCCTGTATCTGCTATTGCTTGAATTAACATTCAACAACTAAATGATAGTAGTTTCTTCTTGTATACAGGCTAGAGGCAGGGATTCACTTTTACATCCTATTGTGCTCAAAATTAGGAACACTATAGAAACCATCTTGTTGTGGCCTTCATCTAATGGGGATGAAGGTAACAAGTTTTCTTTTCTAAATTTGCCAATCCTCATACTGTTACTAAAGCCTGATGGCTGCAAGTATCTTTCTCTCTTTCAGTTTCCAAAGCTCAGCATGGGTGTATTGATTGTCTAGCACTGATGATATGTACTGAACTACAAGCTCTAGAATCATTCAGAGACTTGACCTCAAAGAACACAAGCCTTGTGAGAATGGACAGTTCACGTCAGTATCTTATTTTCTCTTTGTATAAGCACTTTTGCGTTTTACAAGAATTCAACTGATCTCTGTGATTCCAAATGCAGGGGATGCTGCAATGAGAGATTCAGTACGCAGTTATGTGATCCATCAATTAACACGTGATAAGGACTGCACATATGAGGCATCGATATCTATGTCATTTGTTCTATGCATGGCTAATGTTCTCATCAGTGCTTGTCAAAAGATCCCAGACTCTTGCAAGAGACCCTTTGCTCGAGAAATTCTTCCACGTCTCATTCAGTCTGTAGAGGTATGTCATAATAAAGGTCACAATTGTTGGGTTCGAGTGGTACCGACTTTCAATATCTAGCAGCTCCACATTTTTAATGTTACCATTCCTCTTTATTCATCTCGGTGGTGATAGCAGGTGATGATGGAATCAGAGTATAGAGCTGCATGCCTCCAGGTTTTCTTCTCAGCAGTATATCATCTGAAGTCTACAATTCTTCCTTACACTTCTGATCTTCTCAGAGTCTCTCTGAAATCTCTTAGAGAAGGATCAGAAAAGGTAAGAAGTCCAGTATGATAAATACGTCCATTTTCGGTTTTCTACCAATTTATTGGCAAATAACTTATTTCTTTTCTGACCTATTGTCTGTGGGTTTACCTGAGTTTTGCCTGTCAAAATTTTTCACATCTGTACACTGCAGAATGAGTGAAATTGCTCAAGAATAGATATATGTCCTCCTTATGTTCTTTATATGCAGATTTAAATAATTATGCACTTCTTAGTTTCTAGAGTACATGACTCTTAGAGAAGAAACGGGTAACAAAAGACTATATTGATGTGATTAGGGACATGTATGAAGGTGTGGTGACCACTATTAGATTGCTAGCTAGAGAGACAAGTGAATTTCCAATTATTGTGGGGTTGCACCAAGGATCAACTTTAAGTCTTTATTTTTTTACTTTAATTATGGATGAGTTGATGAGAAATATTCAGGATGATGTGCTATAGTGTATGCTTTTTGCAGATGATATCGTGTTTGTCATGCCCTAACCCGCCTCTAGAAGTTAGGATCATAACCGGCTAGCTAAGAAGAACGGACACTTCTAAGGAGGTGGCATATCCGTGTCGTGTCTGTGTCGGACACCGACACTCTTCGGACACTATCCTGACACGTGTCCGACACTCCTCAAAACGTGTCCTGTTTTTTAATTTTTCTTAAAGATCCGGACACTCTTTGGACACTTGGAGGACACATGTTTATCGCTTAAACACGCGTGTCCATCAATTAGACACAGGTGAAACTAATTATGAGTTTGAACAAAACAATTTAAGATACAAAATAAAATAGAAACCATATAAATTTATAGGAATTAGTGTCATATTGCATTTTTCATTATTTTTGAATGATATATCCATATATATAACATTTAATAAATATATATAGAATTATATATTTTATGCGTGTCCCCCATGTGTCGTGTCCTGTATGTTTTGAAAATTAGTGTGTCGGCGTGTCTGTGTCGTATTCGTGTCGTGTCGCGTGTCCGTGTCCATGCTTCGTAGGCGGCTAGTAATCGTGAGATTACCTACGACATCGACAGAAATCAAATCATGATTAATAATAAGGGGCCAAAAGCGTAAGCAAAATATAAATCATTATCCAATGAGTTGTGCATATATGGCAAGGTAAAAACCTTTCACACATATATAATAACTCACACATCGCATACATATGCAATTTGTACATGTCCAGGATCATTCAGACTTGTTATGTACTAAACCAAAACACCAAAAACGGTCTTTTCAAAAACCAAGGTTTATACAAACTTGGTCACATATGACCACAAAAGAAAGCAAAAAGGAAAATAAAAAACCTCATATGTGGGGCAACCTTGGATGACATCAAAACTCGGTACTCCTTCACATTTACACTAAGGCTGGGGCTGGATATCTCGCTGCTCACCTACATACATATAAATAAAGAGTGAGTTAATGCCCAGTGAATAATACCAGAGTACAGGGGTTAATGAATGAGATTCGTATGTAAATAAATCATACTTGCATTGAATACATATGGAAGAAAATTCCCATTCATAACGTACTTAAACAAATTATAGCGGAATGACCTCAGGCCCAATCCATTATACGTAGTACATGTTGAAGGGACAAAATGACCTTGGGTCCAAACATTTTTCATAACTGATCATAACATATGTACTAAACGACCTCGGGTCCAACATTTCCATACTCTTATCCATGCGCATATGCAAATTCAAGATCATATTCACATTTAATGAATCCATGCACAAATGACCATCTGGTCCTTCACGTTGTATGTACAAAACGACCTTAGGTCCATTATTTCCAAATTCATACTCACATGTGCGTTTATAATCATGATCATGTTCACATTCATATTCACATTCAAAACAACCTTTGGTCTAATCAATTCTTTGTTTAAAATGACCTTTGGTCCATTTAACAATCATACAAAATGACCTTCGATCCAACTCATTTGTAAGATGACCTTAGGTTTATCTTGTCAAATATTTTAAACGGCCTTAGGCCCATTCTGTGTCCCTGTCAAATATTCCAAACGGCCTCGGGCCTATTACACATTCTCATCTGTTACCAAACGGCCTTAGGCTTATTGTGTATTCATACAAAACGACCTTTGGTCCAATCTTATAATTTCGTGCTTATCAATCACGTTTCAAGTCTTTTACAAATTAGATAGTTAGAATATTCATTCATAATACAAATTCATGATTCGGGAAAAGTTACCACGTAGGTAGTATTTAGAAAATAATATACATGAAAATATCTTTACTAAGATATTACTCACAATGTTCAAATGGTTGATTCGTCTTCGCGATTGACCCTACACAATCCATAGCACATACGGAAATCGGGTCACAATACAATTCAGTTCGTTCTTTACTTCATTTATCTTTCTTATGCTTCTTCCTACCTCTTTGGTTCATTTAGAATGCTCAATGTATGCCTAAGAGTGCTTAGAATTGAAAAAGAACGGAAATTGAAATATAAAACAATTTTTCAAAATTCCTAAAACAGGACACTTCGCTCGAGTGCAACATTGGTCGCTCGAGCGAACCCCTTGGTCTGCGAAAGGTTTTGGATGCTTTCATTTTATGCTCGAGCCAACTTTTTAGTTGTTCGAGCCAAGATTGAGAATAAAGGGTGGTCACTAGAGCGGTCTTTTGGTCGTTTGAGCCAACCCCCAATGTCAGCAAAAGTACCGGGAGCTCGAAATGTATGCTCAAGCCACCTCTCCATCACTAAAGTGATAGGTCGAAGAATTTCCAGATTTGAAGAACAATGCCCCAAGCTTGATTTTAACACTTAAATGCATGCATGACTCACTCAAACATGCAAGAGCACTCCCAAATACATATAATTGAAGCTAGCTTTACCTATAGTTCAAAATTTCATGAATTCAACAAGATTCAAACATTAAACTTTATGTTTGTAAAATTTATGTTTTACATCTTGCATTCACAAGCTTCAAGGCTTAAAATTGGACTTCAAAACTTTACAATTGATGCATGCATGTGAGATACAACTATTAATTGTACATGAATTACAAGATTCATGTTCACAAATGAGAAAACATAACAAATTCATGCATGTATGTATGTTAGACCTCCCTATTCATCATCCTTAAGCCATTTCTTACATTAACTCTCATAATCTTCTTAAATTCATATCTTTGATAACTTAATTTCATGAATTATAAGTTCATGACTTACCTAGAGTTTTCAATCAACTCTTCACAAGTTAGTTCTTGAGTTCTTACACAATTCTTCAAGCCCCTAGCCAAATCTTCAAGATTGAGCCTCACCCTTTCTAGAATCACACTTCTCTCTATAAAATGCTCTCCCTACAAGCTGAATTTTGAGCTCAAAAATGAGCTAAGCACCTTAATTAGCATATATATAGGCTAGGTTAACTTAATTCACTAATCCATGATTAAGTTAAGTAATTGGAGCTTATTTTAATTGAAGTAATTTAATTAATTCAGTCTGAATCAAATTTTAATCAAACTTCACTGTAGGCTCTAAAAATTATGCCGATCACAATAATTCAATCAATTATGGTTTTTGAAGCCGATAAGGCCTTCAATTTCATATTATAGCCGCATATAGAATAGATCTCTCTACGAGGGATAGATATAAATTCGAAAACGTATATAATCACATGCTTAACATCCAAAATCATATTAAGCACATAATCACAAATATAATTAAAGATTAACGGCATCAGACAGAATGGGGTTATCACATTGTTAGTGGATGAGAGTAAAGAATAAGTTAACACTAAGTTGGAGACTTAGAGAGAAGCACTTGAAACTAAAGGATTTAGGATAAGCAAAACTAAGACATAGTACATGGAGTGTAATTTTAGTAACAGTAACAAGGGAAACAGAGAAGTGAAGATTGAGAATCAAAAACTATCTAAGAGTGAATATTGTCATTATTTAGGATCGATTATCACAATAATTAGGGAGGTTGGACCAGATGTGGTTCATAGAATTAAGGCGGGGTGGCTTAAATGGAGCAGTGCGTTTGGGGTACTGTGCGAAAAATGAATATCCATTAGACTAGAAGGAAAGGTCTATAAAACGGTTATTAAACCAGCGATGTTGTATGGGATAGAATGTTGGACAGCTAAGAAACATGTAGATAAGATGAGTGTTGCTGAGATGAGGATGGTAAGGTGGATGTGTGACAAGACTAGAAAAGACAGAGTTAGCACTAATAGAAAATAAGTTGAGATAGAATAGATTAGGATGGTTTGTCATATACTGAAAGTGTTAGGGGAAGTGGCAGATCTAGATTGATATGGGCTACTGTAATAAGTAGAGATATGAATCTCCTGAATTTGACTAACCAAATGACCTTGACAAAGTCGAGTGGAGAAGAAGGATTCATGTAGTCGACACCATTTGATGAGATTTAAGCCTTGGTTTGGTTTGACTCTTTGTAACCTGCAAAAATATTAGGGTCATATTTGAGATTAATCAACGAAGAGGCATGAGCACAAACATGCATACATGACAATTTTCACAAAAATGTAGGACACAACATATATGGACAGAAAACATATTGTTTTATATATTTATTATATGTTATCTATGAAGCATGGGTAATTCGAAAAATATTGCCGTACTCGTACCTGGATACTTGCTGAGTACTGGTGCTTGTACCGGTAAGGCTGTATGCATACTGGGTATTTTTTATCCATTCTTTGGCAGTTGGGTACCCTATGGGTACTTTATGGGTACATCAGGAGTGCACCAAGTTATGGGACCTTGGTGGAGACATGTTTAATTTATTAGAGAGTTCTTATTTGCTTGAAATTGCAAATCTTTTACTTGATGTGTTAGAGATGAAAGATGTATTGTTTAATGATGAAATTGATGGAAGTGTCAAATTTTCAAATTTTGCTTAGTTTGCTTTTGGAATGAAACTTTGTTTTGTAATTTCTGTTGTTTAATGGCATTAAAATAGCTTATAGACTTTGCTTTGGTATTGGTATTAATATTGTTAAATTATGATTTCTCTTTTGGTTTTGTAATTTCTTCTTGTAGTTTTGGTATTAAACTTTAATTTGTAAATTGAATCTCAAACTATAAATTATAAAAAATAAAAAATTTATTGACGTATTTCAACCATACCCTATTCTATTTTTTTTTAGATCTTGCCGTATCGGCGTACCCGTATTGCACTCATACTAGTATCTGTACCCACACCCGTGCTTCATAGAATGTTATATATATATATATATATATATAAATATTGGGCAAACTTCATTTTACTCCCTTATGATTTGGGTCATGTGCGGTTTACCCCCCTAACATTTGGAAATGACCACATAGCCCCCTTGCAGATTGTGGACTGAAGTGCAGTGTTATGTCCGTTAACAAATTAATGAAAAAGACTAAAATACCCCTATATTTTTGTCGTTTCTTTTGCAAGGCAAAGTGAACTTTAACTCTCTGTGCTTTCCATGTGCGATTTACCCCATTGAAATTTGAAAATGAGCATATAACTCCTTTATGTCTGCCATGTGTTTCACATTTACTGTTAAGTTAGACAGAGTGTTTAATGGTTCACTTCAATCCACAAATCATGTAGGGGTTATGTGGTCATTTCTAAACGTTAGAAGGGTAAACCGCACATGACCCAAACTACATGGGAGTAAAGGGAAGTTTGCCCATGAATATTTCATTTAAATTTAATAAAAATACACCACATAACACAAATTTCTAGGGTTTAAAAGAGAATTCATGAAGAGGTATAAATCTACATTAATTTTCTTTTATCAATAGATTCCCAAGTTATTATTTTGTGAAACTTGTAATACATTTCATATGTTTAAACAATAAACATCTGTTTTCCAAGAGTCTGTAGTTTTGTCCGAGGTGTCGGACACGGACACACGACCATAAACGTATCAGTGCTTCTTAGGTAATCAAGTACAATGCTTTTTCAAATTCTTTCCTTCTGAATTTTCGAATAAACTATGATCACGGAAGAGCATTTTAATGACCCTATTTATAGTACAAGTACACATTACATCAAAATTAAAAAGTCATGCTTGGATGCAACTTAGAAGAGAAATCATATTACTGTTGTTTAAGAACCCAACTTCTAAAACGTATTTACCATAAAACAAATTTGGCATGAAGTTTAATTGCGAGTTTACATGCTTCATTTGACTATAGAACAAGCACTACTGTTGGCTTTCAGGCAGTGGATATGTTATTCTACTAGGGCTTTGTCATTCTTTGTTTAAATCACATACTATATACATATGTTCACAGACTTCCTTCTCATGGACGGTTAGCTATGTAGCTCTGGAACTACTAGATATTATTTGGCATAGAAAAATTGAACATCACTCACATAAGTCCTGGATTGTTAGTTTGTTCAATATTGAGGTTCTACTTACCCATGCAATTCAAGCTCCCGATAAATTTGTAGGCCTCGGTCCGAATGTTATCGAAAGGAGAAAGAGTCATAAGATGGTTGAGGTTGGGCGTTTAGAGAATAAAAACTGTTCCTGTCTGCTTTTTTGTGTTCTATGGATCGGAGACAATCTAAAGATGGAAATGAGATTTGGTGTTTTCTTCTTTTCCTTTTATTTTTGGGTTGCATAATATACAACTACTGAACATTTGTTGTAAATGGCTGCACTTTGTTGAACAGGAAAAAATGGCAGGTGCGAAGCTAATGGCATCTCTAATGGCAAGTGAAGAAGCCATTGTCAACAGTATTGCTGGAGGACTACTAGAGGCTATAACAGTACTTTCTAGTTTATCATCTTCTGATCCATCACCAGACGTACGTCAAGTGTCCGAAAAATTGCTTGCATGTTTAACTTCTCTCTAAATTTTGTGTACTCCTTTTCTTCTTGTAGTTTTCTCTCCACTTGCTACATTTTTCTTATCTTTGAAGTACTTGTACAAATGTATATAATTACAAGGAAAGCTATGTGGTTTATATGCATATTATGGGCCTAATGTCTCTCCTTTTCACTTAAGAGAAGTGAGTACACCTTAAAATTACACTACCTTCCCTTCACATTTGAAGAATAGTAAGTTTCACAAATTTATGTAGTTATATTGGACTCCTTTGAGATTTAATTTACATAACACTTTAGACATGTAAAAATGGCCAGGTCACGGGCCTATCGGGCTCCTGCCAAAAATTGGCTCGTTCTAACCCATGTGTGGAATCGTGGCCTAGGTCCAAGTGCAAGCCCAGATCCAAGGAGTAATCGAGCTTGTGTTTGAGGTGGGTTTGTGCCAAGCCTGGTAAAAATTTTTTCTAATTTTTTCACCAAAATAGCTTGAAAGTGACATTTAGGCTGATCGGGCCTCGGCTCGGGCCTCATATTGGGCTTGCTTGTTGGGTTAGAAAAAGCATTGCCTAGGCCCTGGCTTTGGGCCTCAGTCTGGCGGGCCATTTTGAAACCTCTAGGGTCTGCTTGTTTTTAGAGGTAAAATGGAAGGGATTGTTAGTGAGGGAATTATTAGTGAGGAGACTGTTAGTGAGGGGAGTGAGGGGACTGCTAGTGAGGGAATTAAGAAAAGTTGTGTTTGTTTGACAACCAGTGGACTAGTAATAGTTTTTGTTTGTTTTGAGAGGTAATGATGGAATTAACCATGTAAAATTATACAATTACCTTTGTATTAGTATTAAATTTGAGCTAATACCAACTAATAAATGCATTACCCAATTAAACTATTCAAAAATTAAAATTAAAATTAAAATTAAAATTAAAATTACATAATTAAAAATAATAAAAAAGTTAAACTATTAATCTATTTATTATTATTATTATTATTATTATTATTATTATTATTATTAAAGAAACCAACCAATGGTTTCTCCAAAATCAGTCCATGGTTTTGAAAAAGTGTTCGTTCGATTAACAAAAAGATGCTACCTTTCACTTCATCAATTTAAGGCCAACCCAGCAGCTTTTACTTCATCCATCTAAGGTCGACGATGATGGAGAACAAGATCGAGATCATCAACCTTAAAGAGAAGAATGATGTTGCTTCATTCGGGTATAATTTTTATTTTTTCTTGCAAATTTATGGGTTTGTGGGTTTGTGGATGAGAACGACGATGTTACTTCATTTGAGCCAATTTTTTTATTATAAATTTTTGAGTTTGTTGATATTTTCTAAACATCAAAGGAACATTTTTGTGGATAAAATCGTCATTCACACTCTAATATCAATGGCTTAATTTCTAATACCAAATCCTCTAGCTTAATTTTAATTCATGTTTGTTTTGAGAGGTAAGGATGAAATTAACCATGTAAAATTATATAAACACATCTGTATTAGTATTAAATTTGAGCTTATACCAACTAATAAATGTATTACCCAATTAAACTATTCAAAAATTAAAATTAAAATTACATAATTAAAAATAATAAAAAAGTTCAACTATTAATTTATTTATTATTATTGTTATTATTATTATTAAAGAAACCAGCCAATGGTTTCTCCAAAATCAGCCCATGGTTTTGAAAAAGTGTTCATTCGATTAACAAAAAGATGTTACCTTTCACTTCATCCATTTAAGGCCAACCGAGCAGCTTTTACTTCATCCATCTAAGGCCGACGATGATGCAGAACAAGATCGAGATCATCAACCTTAATGAGAACGATGATGTTGCTTTATTCAGGTATGGTTTTTTTTTTTTTCTTGCAAATTTATGGGTTTGTGGGTTTGTGGATGAGAATGACGATGTTGCTTCATTTGAGCCAATTTTTTTTTTTTTTTTTATAAATTTCTGAGTTTGTTGATATTTTCTGAACATCAAAGGAACATTTTTGTGGATAAAATTGTCATTCACACTCTAATATCAATGGCTTAATTTCTAATACCAAATCCTCTGGCCTATGCTAATCCTCTCGTTGGAGGGGATTCAGAGTCTGAATGGATTATCACTTCAGTGACTATTTTGCAAACAAATGTGATATTGTGAATCCGACCTCACTACTAATCTTAATCCTAAGCCTCAACTCGGAAAACAAACGGGGCCGTACAGTTAACTCATTTTTATTAGTAATTTGTTAATCATATTGATTGAAAAAGGGAAAATTATTTAACAGTGGAGCAGAGAAAAATAATTACAAACATACGAAGTGTGCAAGTGATTATGTGGTGGGGTGCAAGTCTCACTTGCATTCCATGTTTGTGTAATTTATTTATTTATTTTTCTTGTTACACTGTTAAGTAATTCTCCCATTAAAAAAATGATGTCATTGTTGTTATAATGAAATGTAAATTTTATCTTATTTATTTTTATGTCTTTATATTATCTACATTAGTTTTGGTAAGTTTGACTAAGTGACTAACAGTTTCTTCTATTTTACTTGGAAAATTTGCTATGGCACATTGAAATAAATTTTTTCAAAAATGCTAAGTAGTTACCATGAATGTTGGTAGTCTAATGTTGGAAAGATATACAAGTTTCCTCTAACATAAAAATAACCATTGTCAAAGTTTGGTCTTTTAGTATTCTCTCTAATGTTAAATTAATACATTCTGTGCAATTTAAAAGGAGCATGCATGCAATTTCCCCCTTATACATAAATATCGTTAAGGGTTGGGTTTCTTTTATATTCTCTCACTCAACATTAGAAAACTTGAGAGGCCTACAGGGCCCGTCATGAGTCTTGTTTCGATAATTTGAATTATTCATTTTCGTAAGACCTTCAATATATATTATTCATAAAAAAAATTAGTTCGATCAAATAATTATAATTTTTATTTTATTTTATTGTGTTTGTTTTTGAAAAAATGGACAGATATATTTTTGAAATATATAATCTATTTTTGTAAAGACAAATACGATAAAATGAAAATGCTACATTATCAAATTGATTAAAAAAAGTTATGAACGATATATATTGGATCTTATAAAATAAATGGTTTGTATTATTGAAATGAGAATCGTAATAGATCTTATGGGCCCTTCAAGTTCTCTCATATTGAACTCATGTTGAGATCTCAACATGAAAAACCCAACCTGCTAAGTGTTTTTTTTTTTTTGAGAACATGGAAAATATTAGATTGATAAAACAAAAACAGTATATAAACAAGATTCCAAATAGTCATCCCAACTAAACAACAAAATAAAAAAAATAAAAATAAAATCAAATCCGTCAAAAAAATAGTTATGATACAAGAAAAACTACCGATTTGCTCAAAGATATGGTCTAGAAGTTAAGATCGGCTTGAAAACCCACTGTCCTTGTCGCTGCTGCTCAACTCTGCCACTACTGCCGCCAAGGAAGTATACTCAAAGAAGGCTTGAGAGAGGAGGGAACCATTGCGAGTGTCAAAAATTTAAAAATCTATGCCGAAACCGGAGGAGAAAACTCTCAAAATTCATATTTTGGGCATAAAAAGTTTAGATGTACACTCTAAAAATGTAGATCTATACTCTAGTAGTGTAGATCTATACTTTAAAAATGTAAAATGTTGTTGGAATGTCGCCAAAGTATCACCGGAATATCGCCGAAAATTATCTAAAGAGAGAAGCTCTGCTCTCTCTATTTGGACCTTTGCTAACCGTTAAGGATTGGGCTTTCTATTAACTTATTATGTTATTTAGGTTTGTTTTGGCAAATTATTAAAATAGTTAAAAATTCACTACTAAAAAATTAATTATTTTCTTATTTTTATACGTCTTTTCGTAAAAAGTTAAAAAATTAATTAAAATAATTAATTTTTGAACAACCCTTATGGCATGGATTAGAATAAGTTTGAGTAAGACCTTTGAAAATTATTACATATTAAAACTATGCTTTGTAAAAATCAAACATAAGATTTTTTTAAAAAAAATAAAAATAAAAAAAATAATGTATTAAACTTCAATATTCAACTCTTTAATTACTACGTCACTTCACTTCGTGTTAGATATCTCTCTCTCCCTCGAGACACACACACAACGGTTAACACAGTATCATGCACAAAGTATCATGTGCAAGCAATAATGGCAACTATGCTTTGGAAATAATATTGTGTAATACTAATGATTCGCATGTGCAAGCAATAATGGCAACTATGCTTTGGAAATAATATTGTGTAATACTAATGATTCGTTGTAGTTTGAGCCCCAGTTCTTGGATAATTTGTGATAAATAATTACCAGAGATAACTGAAAAAACTAAAGGGATTTTATTTAGAGAAATTTATTAAAAAGTGCAATTTAAAGAGGATATAGGTATTAAAGTACAAATTTTTTTATATATTAAAGTAGCAATTGAATTTTTTTATTAGTTGAAACAGATCTGAAGAGTTTCATGCTTTCAGATCTATAATTCGAACCAAATTTGAACCACTCTCGTTTGACGATTTTCATGTTCTTCTTCATTCAGAGGAACAATCACTGAAGGAATCACACATCTCGCATCATGATCTAACCAATTCTTTAGCCATCGCTGATGAAAATAGAGATCAATCAAGGTCTAGAGAGAGAGAGAGAGAGAGAGAAGTAATCAACGAAGAAGAAACGCAAACACCACTCACTATTATAAGTTCTAGATTTCCTCTCTCTTAGAAGAAAAAATATATTCCATCATCGAAGAAAAGTAAAAGAATAATGCTAAATGTACCTGTACTAATTAATGTACTAATAAATAATGTGAAATAATTGTAGAGGTTTTGAATATTTATAATTTATATAATACGTGGAATCAGTAATAATAATTGATTGATATACTAATTAATACACTAATTAATATATGTAACCCATCGTAAGTAAAATGCATAATGGAGCTAATCAAGGCACAAATCCAGAAACTTATAACGGAAACAAGTAACTAACTCCTATAGACATGGTAAACAAATGGACATCTAAGACTAGGACAAAAGCTTATTCAAATTGACTTGAACACTTGTTCAAGTTGACTTGAACTCCTAATGCCTTCCCTTGAACTGAGTGTTTTGCTATCACTCAGTTTAGAAAGGGTTCTTCA